TGATCTTATCTGTCTCTGGTCTCTTGGTCTTGCTCCTTCTTCTGAATATGTATTTTTGTTTTCTTCCTTCTCTTTTTGTTTAGCCACTCCTTCATCTGCCATTTCTTCTTGTTTCTTTGGTTCAGGGTCGCCTCTTTCCAGAAAAGCTTTGTGGTTGTCGAAAAACTCCAGTGCTTTAAGTGGTGTGTCCAATCTATATCTTTTCGTATCCCAGTAAATTAAGATCCCTTCTGGAAACAGCCATCTGAAATTCACTCCTTTTTCAGCTAGTTTCCTAGTTAGGAACTGATATTCTCTTTGAGCCTCTCTTATTCTCCTAGGGATTTGTTTGAGAACTACAATTTCTTTTTCTTTGTATTTCAACGGTTCATCTCTTACTTTTCTCAGGATCTCATCTCTTGTAGATCTTTTAAGAAATCTAACATGCACTTCCCTAGGTACTTTATGTCTTTTGGCATAATTTGAGTTGACTTGATAGATCGGATCTAATTCTCCTTCCATTTGCAATTTTCCAGTTCCTAATGCGTCTGCCAGTAACTCAGTTATCAAACCTAGGACATCCTCTTCTTTATCTTCTATTATATTTTGGAATCTTAAAAAGTATGAGGCCTTTTCCATTTCTATAACCGCTAATGGATCTTCTAATTCTCCGTTTATTTGCATCAATTTTTGATTTTCATCTTTTAAAACTGCTAGTTTCTGATCAACCTAAGTTGACTTATCTTCTATTTTTTGGATTCTTTGTTGGTTGTCTGTGATCATCTGTTTAAAATTTTCAATTTGGGAATCTATATTGTTAATTTTTTGGTTCATTTTGTCAAAGTCACTTTTCAACTCATGGTTTTTCATTGTAGTTGCCGTCTGGACAGCGATAGCCTCTTGAATTGCTTGCAGAGTTGCGTATCTTTCTGGAAGGTGTCCGTCTTCTCTTGCTGGAGCATTGTGGCAATTGATCTCTGATATACTGGACTTGCAGAGGTCGAGGCAGGAGCAGAAGATCCTTTTCCCCCAACTTTAGATAGGTTTGGGGCGCTCATCTTTATCTTTAATTCATATGTTATAATCCACCAAATAGCCAAATTTTATAATCCAATAGGCTCCTAATAGTTAGGAGAGGCAAACCATAAAAATAGCAAAGGGTAAAAAAAGGAGAGAAAAAAAGAAAAAGATAATGCCTTTGCGGCCTCTGACCCGACGTGGATCTCGACCATCTCCTTGGTTTACCGAGGGGCTGAGAGAGATGTAACGTCGGAAAAGACGCCTAGAGAGCAGTTGGAGGGCCAGCCGAACCGAATCCGATCGAGCACAGGTAAGGATACATCTTAGATCCTACCTTGTGGCGATGAGGGAGGCTAGGACTAACTACTATGCCTCACTCATTGCGTCATCAGATAATCGCCCGGCCGCCCTCTTCAGGGTGACCCGCTCTCTCCTTCAATTGGA